GTATGTTATTAACCTATGGGCATAATTGCCTATTCCAAGCCTGCAGCTCTAAGAGGCTTTATGTATGATTGTAATAAATGAAATAACTTTTATGATTCCAACTCACAGTTGAACACATTGACATTGAAAATTACACATGCATACGCATTACTTTTGTCTTTCCCCATAGAAGATATTATCGGTGCGACTCCGACTGCGGAGGAAGACCCGTGGTGGCAGGGAAACGACTGAGCTTTGCATTAGCTCATCTCTGCAGCTGGTGCCACATGGAAACACTTCAGCCCATCTCGGTTTAAAATAAAAAAAAGCCTCCATCCAAATAAGCAAATGTTCATAAAATTGCCACTGTGTACATCACCGATGGAGAAATTCTCGTCTGATGGCTGCTGTCTCTCCAACCCCAACCTCCTCCCTCTCCCCCACCACGTCGTATTTTGTGCCTGTGAAGTGATGCTGAAGGGGAATTTGGTTTGGTGGTTTGTTTTTTATTTGTCACCATGGGGGCAAAGGGCTGAAGGGGAATTTGGTTTGGTGGTTTGTTTTTGATTTGTCACCATGGGGGCAAAGGTGAACATGAAATGCAAAGGGCAAAGTCTGTGTCTTCCAGCACTTTTGTGCTGGTGAAAACCCACGGCACAAGTGGGAGGGTAGTGAAGGATCGCCAACCTCCAGAGGATGTGGGTGCTGTGAGCAGCAGGTCTCATAAAGCATCATCTCAGCCTCTCTTGGGTGTCACCAGGCTTTACAAGAAGTTGTGTCCCCCTCCACCAGCAGAAATCTGGTGAGCATCTCTCCTGGCAGTGCTGGACCCCTTGGCCTCTCTCACGTGTCCAGACTGTTTTCATATTCATAGGCTGGGGAAGATCTTTCTTCATTCCAGCCATCTGAAAGGCACGTGGACAGTCTCCACTGGCCTGCTGAATGGCTTCCCAGATGGGCAGAGAGACTGGTATTTCCAGAGGGTGGTTTATCTCAGAGACAGGGGATAGGTGACCATCAGTGATGGACGTTCACACGATGTGATGCACAGGCACGAGAGGACCTTTGGGCAGCTGAGCTTTGGTAGAGTGAATCCCACCTCTGCAACTCCTCTGCCTCCCTAATCCAAAGGCTGCTGAATAGATGTTGAGACACTTGGAAAACACTTGTTGAGGACCAGATCCTGCTTAAAATACTGCAAGGGATAGCAGGAGCATCCTCCACTGTGCCTCCAGCCTGTCCCCAACTGTCTAAATACGTTCAGAAGAGAGACAGCAAGAGGAGGACAAATCCTCTAGCCAGGTTGCTCAGAGTTTGCCTTGGGTATGGGGAGAGGTTGTGCTTGCTGGCCACCTCCAGTGACCAATGTTTTATCCTCTTGCTATCCTGCACTTTGGCTGAAAGGGTCCCAAAACACCCAGAGAAAAACTCTTCTCACTTAGAATCACCAAATGGTTAAAGTTGGAAGGGATCTTAAAGATCATTTAGTTCCAGCTCCCCTGCCCTGGGCAGGGACACCTCCCACCAGACCAGGTTGCTCCAAGCCCCCTCCAACCTGGCCTTGAACCCCTCCAGGGATGGAGCAGCCACAGCTTTTCTGGGCAACTTGAAAGCCCTGTGTCCTGGCTGCAGGGCAGGAAAGGTCCAAGCTCCTGATTTTAGTCAGGCTCATGTCCCAAAATCAGGATGTTTCCACTGACTGATATGCTGGACATCTTAGGGACCAGGGTTTGTGGGGCCAGTGTATGTGTGTAGGGTCACATGACACCACTCAAATCTTTCCTGGCATTGGTAGTGATTAAAGAACTGTGATTTCACCAGGTATTATGTCACCACTAAACCTTTGGCTGAGGGTCCAGACAGTTTTTGAATGTTCTGTGCCTCCTGAGCTCCTCCTACCAAACTCTTGCTTCCCAACCCATCCGATCTTGTTGAGGAGGTCAGGGTCTGCCCCTCCAACTGGGCAATAGGAGGGAATCCCTCTTCTCCACTCATCCCCTGGTATATGGGACCTCTTGTTTCAGAGCAGCCCCATTCCCACCTTGGGACTCAGCCGTGTCTCCCTTTCCCCTCTGGGTGGTGTTTTTCAGCTCTGAGCTTTGGTTGCAGAGCAGAGCACGCCAAAAGTGCTATAGGTACTGGGGTACCATGGTGGCATCACCACCCCCTAATCGTGCCATGATCTGGGACTGCACAACTGTGCAAGAGGCACGGTAACAGCGTGTCCTCCATCATCATCAGCCGGGTAGCAAAGCCTGGACCCTCCTCCCAGTCTCCACGCCGGGCAAAGCTCATGGGCTTTGCTCGTTTGGTTGCTCATCACCCACAGGTTTGGAGCAAACTCGGTCACACCGATGCGTTGGGTCCCCACGCTCCTTAAGCACGACTCCTGATTGGAATTAATGTAATGATCAGAGGGATGGAGCACCTCTCCTATGAAGACAGGCTGAGGGAGCTGGGATTGTTCAGCCTGGAGAAGAGGAGGCTCCGGGGAGACCTTATAGCGGCCTTTCAATACCTGAAGGGTGCCTATAGAAGAGCTGGGGAGCGACTCTTTGCCAGGAGGTGTAATGATAGGACAAGGGGAAACGGTTTGAAATTGGAAGAAAAAAGATTCAGATTAGATCTACGGAAGAAATTTTTTACTATGAGAGTGGTGAGACACTGGAACAGGTTGCCCAGGGAAGCTGTGGCTGCCCCATCCCTGGAGGTGTTCAAGGCCCCGCTGGATGTGGCCTTGAGCAACCTGCTCTAGTGGGAGGTGTCCCTGCCCAGGGCAGGGGGGTTGGAACTCGATGATCTTTGAGGTCCCTTCCGACCCAAACCATTCTATGATTCTATGATTTTGGGTGATGGGAAAATATATATTTTGAGGGGCTGCTCCAAGATGTCTTAAAAGGAGAAATGGGATGGCCTCAGCGTGTAGGAGCATCATTAAAGTGCCGTCCCCGCTCCTCCGGGCGCCGCGTGCCACTTCCCTACTTGACCCCTTAATTTCCAGCGGTGATGTCACCGAAATCCCTGTTTGTGGTCTCGCTTGGCAGTCTAAATTTAGAGCGTTTGAGATGATTTGTGACTCTGTTGCTGGGGGGAGGCGGGGAAGGGGGAGGAATGACATGTGAGTCCTGTGTCATTGAGGCTTGTTTGGGCTTTGGGAGACGGTGCTCGGAGGTGACGGTGCTGTCCAGGAAGAGCAGAAGGGAAAAAAAAAAATAGGGGACTCTTGATCCTTTTTATAGTCTAAGCAATTTAATTGAGCTCGTTGCTTAGCTAAGACATTAAGAAAGGATTTTCCCCTCGAATCCTGATTAGATTTCCCAATAAAATGCCCACTTTGGCTGCTGCTGCTAGGAGATGTGCTGGTTTGCGGTTCAAAGAGACACACAGCGTAAAAATAAAGCGAAAAAAAGGAGCCGGGTGCCGTGAGGATGTGGAGGAAAAGACCTTTCCGCATGGAGACCACCATCCTTCATGGGGCTGGGTGGAAAAGGCAGAGCTGGATGGGGCTGGGAGTTGACGGAGAGCTGGGAAATGAGGGAAATAATAGAGGAATTTCCTACATCCTTCCTTTTCCGTCTCCCCGCCGGAGCCAGAGCATCTCGAGTCAAACCGGCGCTGCAGCGGTGAGCGAATCGGTCAGGGGGTGGGCGTGGAGAAATAAAAATGGCATAAAATCTCGGGTGGAAGGCTCTGCGCACCCTCCTCCTCCTCTCCATCCCTCCCTTTCCTCTCCTGGCACGGTGGGGACCCGAGGGTCCCTCTCCCCGGCCCCTTCCAGCACACGACCTTGAGGCCAGACGCCTGAAGGTTATTTGGGGGCATCTCTGTGTTAATCAAACATTCCCACAAGCCGCTTAATTCCTGTCATCCCCCCCCCCCCCCCCCCCCACTATAATCCAACTGGGGATGGAGCCTGGCAGGTTTCTAGCCGTTATGTTTACATCGGACTGCGGGTGGAGGGAGGAAGGAGGGGACAGGGAAAGAGGGGGGGGGGAACTGACGTGCTTGGAATAAAAAATTGTGCCACCTCCTCCTCCATCCCTCAGCGAAAAAAAAAATAAAAAATCAAACGCATCTGTCCATCCACCCCCCCCCTGCACCATCTCCCTACCCAAAGTGTCCACCCAGAAGAGGAGGGGCCGCGCCGCAGCTCATCTCAAGGGGGCAAAGGTCTTTGAGAAACCCCCGGCCTGATTTATTCAGCAATATTTCTTGGGATTAATATTAATAAGAACCTCCTTCCCCCTCCTCTCCATCCCCCCCGAGCCAAGCCCGAGGGATGCAGCCGGGCCCTGGTGGGGTACCAGGCCT